ATACTGGTAGACGTCAGAAATAGGAAACTTGTCCTTGCCGAACAGACTAAGGAAATTAGAGGAATTATATCAAATGAGACTTCCATACATTTATTAGTCAAACCTCATCACGAGAACGACAAATACGACAATTTACTTAATCAGTTTCCAGACTTATTACGACCGAGTTTCAAACACGACAAACCGACCCATACCATCGTACAACACATAAAGACCGAAGGTCCACCAGTGTCCGCACGTCCGTTCGTTCGCCATATGCGGTACTCAAAATCTGGTCGCCCACAGCAGACAGCTGGCACCCCTGTAGCAGCAGCGCACCATGGCATACCTGGCCCCAAAAATTCAGAACAAATGTACTCTCCAACCAACTTATGGGGTCCAAGTGACATCAGTCAGGCTGCAAACTTGGGTCTCATGATCGTTCGGTCTCGGGGAAGCTTAACAACATGCCTTACCTGATTCCTATTCCACACTATGGGTCAGTACCCCAGACTTCTCTCTCATCAACTTCATTTCTGTCAGCTGTTGGATATCCGCTCTTCATGATATATCCGACGGGACGTTTATCAGCACCAGCGACATCAGGAGTTTTTGATCCTGTTTGAGATTATTCAGTGACCTGTCAAACATCACATTCATCATCAGTTGGTGTTTCAAGTGTATCGCAACAACGGTCAACTGATTCATCAAAATCTAACCGTATAAAACCGTCTAAACCTGAAGCAGAGCAAGCACCATTCAAACTACCTGCAACAAGCAACACTTCAAATCGAAGTTCAGCAGCAGCACGTACTACAACAAGATCAGGAAGAAGAGTACATTGGCCAGATAGGTATGTAGCAACCACTATATTTATCTAGATCAAATCCTGAGACTACTCTTATAACACATAAAAATCCTACTTTATTTTGATTACTATTTTTTTATTGGCCCCACGGATCATCATTATGCTTACATTTTAACTTTATACAATTCATTAATGTTAAATATACACTTGGATATACATGATATGAAACGTTTCAACACAAGCTGTTATTACAATTTAGCGCTTACTCATCATATTGAGTTGTACTTTTATTTTAAAAACAGTTCCGTTCTTTATCTCTGTCGTACATAGATATTAATCCAATTTTTTTTGGTACATAAAAACATCAATGTTCTGGATGGGAGCTTATGTGGCAAGCCCATTTGGCTACTGTATCATTTGTCTATTCATTGTAACTCAGACTCTTAATTCACTATGTTAATTTCGGTGTGTATGATCGAATGCATGTCTGTACATTAACTCTTAAGCTATCCTCCTATTGGTTTCAATGTGCAGATAATCGATCATTTATCCACACCCGATTAACTCTTAAAAATATATATGGGTTTTAAACACACACACTCACTCTGTTTCATCGTGTGCTTGCTCACCGTACGTTTGTGGATTTTAATTGATCATTAACAATAAATTATCTCTATAACTGGTGTTCAGGCTTCTCAATAATTTCGAGTAAATCCGTAATTCTACTAGGAGATTAAGCCTACCTTAAATACTCAGTTTACGGGATAGTATTTATTGGAGTCAGATATTGAGGACATTAGCCTCAACAACTCAAATAGACCATACTGTCACCAGTCACCGTTAGAGAGGCGCAGTGGAAGACTGTCGCTCGTTCTGGAATGCCTGTTTGGACTCCGATCATGCTCTAATACGATCACGCATTTTGTTTACGCCTCTCTGGACGCAGCGACTGCATGTAATACCAAACAGCTTTACAGACTAATAAATTCAAATGGAATTAAGAAGTCAAGTGTAAGTGAGATTATTTGGAAAAAAAGGGCACTTATTTGCTCTCAGCTCAGACTTTTAGATCGATGAGCGGAACAGTTTAAGGAGCAGTTCATCTGACCTTCATCTACTCTACAACTACCCACCGTTCCCAGATAACCTGAATGGAACATTGAAGTAGTCCAAAAAGCTATAGCTAATCTGAAACTAGGAAAAGCAGATGGATTAACTCCAGATGTCTTTAAGTATGGTGGTCTAATTTTAGCGATTAGGTTGACTAATATTTTAGGTGAAATCTAGAAACTGAATGTAAACCCATCTGACTGGTCTCAATCACTGATTGTCCGAATATATGAGAAGGGGTCAAAGTAATCCTGTGATAACCATAGAGGAATTAGTTTGACTAATATAGCATCTAAAATACTAGCCTCAATGATTATTGGGTACCTGACAAAGACTCGTGAGCTGTAAACACGAGAAAATCAGGCTGGCTTTGAGCCTCGCCATGGCTGCATAGACTACATATTTACCGTTCGTCAGATTTTAGAATACAGACATGCTTATCGGCGTCCGACAATGGTGGTCTTTCTTGACTTAAACTCAACATTCGACAGTGTTGTCATTGAAGGATCTACCTTGGAAGTATATAAATTTTGTGAAGTCTCTTTAATCAGTCATCACCATCTGAGTCGGAGTTATGGTGAACGACAAAGCTGTTCACTGTCTCAAGTTTTGTTCAACTTCATTATAGACATACTGATGGAAATAATGTTCTTGTCGACTGAATTTTCAGGAATCGATCTCCTATTAGGAGGTTTATTTATTGACCTAGAGTACTCTGATGACATAGTATTTTTTGGTGAAGACGCTGTTAAAGTGCAGTCTTTCGGTAGCACTGAGCAACAACACCAGGATGTTTGGGATGTGTTTCTCCCCTCTAAATGCAAGTTATTGCTTCAGGACTGGTCTGCGTCAACACCTGAACTAAGGATAGGGAGTGAAATAGTTGAACGCGTCGACAGCTTCACTTATCTTGGAAGTCTGATCAGCCCTAATGGGTTGGTGTCTGCCAAAATCTCTGCACGGATTCAGAAAGCTCATTTGGCTTTTGCCATCTTGCGCTACATATGGCGAAGGTGACATATCCGTCTATCAATTAAGGACGAGTATACTGCACGACAGTTCGTTCTGTTCTACTTTACGGCTGCAAAACGTAGCCACCAAGAGTAGAAGATACTTTAGTATTTGACCACAGATGTCTTAGAAATATAGCTCGCATCTGCTGGGATCATCGGGTAAGTAATAGTGAGGTTAGACGCAAGGTATTAGGGAATGATGGTAAATCAGTTGATGAGGTTGTAAATCTTCATCAACTGAGATGGTTGGGCCACTTGTTACGTATGCCTGAATACCGATTACCACGACGCGCAATGTGTTGGAGATGGTTGAAAGTTAGGGGTGGCCAAACCAAAACGTGGCATCAGTCCTCGAAGTCACTAACTACTTATGTAAGCCATGTTGATAGATGCTGACTACTTGGTTGGAGTTCGTGTGACTATGGTAACCAATGGTTGGAGACTCTGGGTGACATGGCTCAGAATTGATCACAATGGGGTCGGTGTATACACTCTTTGTCATCCCTTAAACCGTGAGATTGAAATTGCTTTACATCTTTCTTTCTACGAACTAATTCTCTCTTCCTGTACTATATCCTTATACACAGTCCATTCTTTTATGCATTACTACCATCGATGTGACTACTATGAATTTGGTGTTCATCTTGTTGTGCTAATGATGTATGGCAACTTGGACCGATGCATTTATGTGCCTAGTCTTACGTTGTGGACTACTTGGTGACTGATTTGGTTGATTTTAATAGCATGTTGAAGGAACACTGTTATGTACCATTACAGTGCTGTCTCCAGTTGTCCAGCGTTTCTTTAGCTTCAGTTTTATCTTGGCAACCACCAGCTAGTGGTGACCTGTGTCAGCTCATCTCCTGGTTCTCACGCCTTCCATCGATCATTGACTTTCTGAATTATTTAGTAATGCAAATATGATCGATCTGGTTCTGTGTAATGTGATTCAGTGAAACCCATATAGCATTGTGTATTTGTTTGTATGGGAATATTGTGTTTTCGTGCCTTAAGGTAACCCTCGTGCTATTGATAGAAGAAACCAGGGAAGTAGTGAATAGATCTATATTTCGATCTTTGCGCAGTCACAGTGGAGTGTGGGATTATCTGTTCAGACAAACAAAGGCTCTCAACATTCAATATAAGATAATAGGGAATATAACGCTTATACAAAATAAGGAAGTGATTGAATACTTGAATACTGTTTTGGCATATGCTTGGTCGTTTGGGGTCAACTCTTAACCAACCAACCTAAGCTGTTACAGTGTCACCCATAACCGTCTTGTTGAATGCACATAAACTTGCGAGCCTGTCACCATTCTCGTTCCTTTCTCCCATTCACTCCATGTTGTCCCATGTTATCTCGATTCCCGGTGTTGTCCATTCCGACATCGTGTTTTAGATCTCCCATCAGGATGGTTAGGTTCTGCCTGGGACACTTCGCTATGATCGATTGCATCCTCGAGTAGAACTGATCTTCATCATCCTAATTTCTATAATTTTTGGGTGGATAACATTCCTTGTGATTCCCTCCTTTGTCTTGAATGGTGCTTTAATGAGTTTAAATTCATGAGATTTCCATTCTATAAGTGCTTTCCGTGCTTCCTTGGAAAGCATCAGTGAAACTCTCTGTGTGTGCATAGTATTGTTCCATGAATGGATTCCAAAAGTTACCATTCCTTATTGTCATCGGTATATAAGTCTCAATACTTGGTCATAAAGTGGTTGGTGTGTAATCCTAGCAGACTTAAATGCACCCATGGTAGAGTGGGAAAATCTGTGAACATGTAAAATAAGCGACTAGTTACGACCCAGACTCTGAATCATCCTTACTCCATCTTATACTGACTCATTATAAGGATAATGTTACGAATTTTGAGTACATGTGTGGTGTTTGAATTAACTAATGATTCTTTTGGTACTTGTTGAATGCTCGATTTCGAATTCTAAATACAGTACATTCGTTGTGCCTGTGTCTTCTTAATTCAATTGCGTTAATCCTGGAATTCCTAATTCATACTATAATTAGAATACTATATTGGCGTCGCGATGGAGCCTGCAATGGAAAAGTTAGATATTCATTCAACTTCAGAAGCTTTTGAAGATTGCTTTGAAAGGTTCGAAATCTGGGCTATGACCAAGGAAGATGATGAGGATGTTAATATTGTGGCACACTTCCTCACATTCATTGGAAAAGAAGCATACAGCTTATTAAGAACTCTGGCTATGCCGGAAAAACCCATTTCGCTTTCTTATACAGCTCTCAAGGATCTACTGCTAGACTATGCTCAGTATACAAATTTCAAATGTCGTAAAGGAGGAAGATTTCGTAAAATGATTCATGAGGATATAAAAAAGTCCACTACATTACTACGTCATCTCAACCTAGTGCATACTCAAGGTTATGCAGACAATTCATTGAATTTGGATGCAGTTCACGAGGATGGGGACAAGTTTGGTCAGTGTTTGTCCTGTTGCAAGTTCCACTCTTCTAATTCATGTAAATTTCATAATTCTAAATGCTTCAAATGTCGTGATATTGGACAAGTTCAGTCAGTTTGTAATTCTGATTCTACTGAGTCGAGTATTCATGATGATCATTTATCTTTATCAACGATTTCAAAAGACAGTGCAGAGTCATATGGCAGTTCAGAGTTAAATGAAATCCAGAATTCTTGTGAGACAACATTTCCTAATCAATCGATTTATCAGAATTCTCATGCTATTGTACCAAGTATGACTTTTCCTAATGATTCACATATTTCTAATGAAATTACTTGCAATTCTGAGGAAAATATGTTAAATGAACCTAATCATGATCGAAAACCTGATGTGGTTTGGATAGATGCTGATTTTTCTAACGATCCTACGCTCTGCAATGACAGTCCTGATGAATTTCATGAGAATATTTCAGAAGAATCAAATCCTGATGTCATATCATATATTACCTATCCTCATAATGTATTTGATCTTCGTGAAAAACCTGCCCAATGCGAAGCACGAGTACTAAGTGACCTCGAGTTTTATTATATTTCGGATGATTTCATATCAACTGCTGTTTACTCTTATCACAAAAGCAGTTCTAATGTTTACTCTAAACAATGTGAGATATATGTTTTAAATGAAGCCACATTATTCATAACTTGGGAGTATAAAGATCCAACATTATTTCGTGGGGGGGGATAGTGTTGAAAAATCTATGGTTCGAATTCTAGATATTAATGATTTCATTACAAAACCGACATGCTGGTTGTATACAATTCCAGGTGAGTCTGTTCCGATTTCGTTTGTTAATTTCAATACTAATGAGCACTTTCTAGATACTACAAAGTTTTTATCTTATACAATGTCGGACAGACTCAGGATGAACTTAACAAGAAGACGTACAACCGATTACAAACACTTATACTTCTATTTAAGCTGTGGCGGATGTGGTGTTTGAATTAACTAATGATCCTTTTGGTACTTGTTGAATGCTCGATTTCGAATTCTAAATACAGTACATTCGTTGTGCCTGTGTCTTCTTAATTCAATTGCGTTAATCCTGGAATTCCTAATTCATACTATAATTAGAATACTATAACATGCCACCCCTATGTAAAAATGATCATACAATTTTGATTTTTGACTTCCATATAACTGTCAATCACCAGCACGCGTGAGCTCAATCAAGACCTAACGTTTTGAAAGCAAACATCCAAGATATCATGCACTCGGCATCGTCAGCAGTTTGGACAACAGAGGCAGAGTCCTCAATCGATACGGTTTTGGACGTATTTCGAAATTTATAAACCACATCCCTTGGACTACATCAAAGAGGCCGAGAAACTCTCCACCATGGCTCAGTGAGGAAGTTCGCATTGTTCTCCGTAAGAGAAGAAAATTGTGGGATAAATTTATGTTACTAGGGACTAATGAGACAAAATCTCAGCATCGAAATACTTGTGCCTCGACCCTCTGTAAGTGTAGAAGGTTGTACGAAAAGAAAATTGCCAACGAACCCATAGGATTTCCTAAACTCTTGTATTCGTATGAAAACCAAAGAACAAAAAGAATTGGAAATATTCCTGCACTATGAGGAGGTAGTACTGCTTCACCATCAGTGGAAAACGACGTTCGTAAGTGACAAGATGGAAAGAAAAGTCAAAATTCGATTGATTTAATAATTATGAGCTTTGTTTAATATTGTTTCCTTTCCGATTCAATGTGATGATCATTCAGTGAAGTATTTGTTTTCTTTTGTCGTATGGTATTTTATTCTGTATAATATATTCAATTGACATGAACTCTGCTCAGTATGTGAATTGTCATGACTGATTATTTTTTATATATGTCATTTTATCCTAATTATTAGTCAAATTGTGTGTATAATCAATATATAAGTGAGTGTATTCTCAACTAGGGTTGTCGTCGACACTGTCTGGATTAACATTTCTTCAGCTAGTCCTCTGTCTTCTCATAGCGACTTGGAAGGGCTCTAGTGTTCTAGTTCTCAAGTTATACGCGTCATATCAGGAATATAAGCATCTAGATGTAACAATAAGGCTCAAGTATTCTCAAACTACTTTAGCAGTGTATATATTATAGAAACACCCTTCCCGTCAGTCAATACAAATCTCCCCAAACAAACACTGGACAGCGTGACCATTAAAGAACTCGATGTCTTTGGTCTGTTAAATAAGCTTGACATGGGCAAATCCACGGGGCCCAATGAACTGCATCCTAGGTTACTAAAGGAATTGGCTAACATCGTTGCGAACCCTTTAAGCATATGCTTTAACCTATCCGTAACGCAGGGTCTTCTATTGAAATACTGGAAGAGCACCATACTAAGTCCTGTCTTCGAAACAGGTACGAAAAATAAACCTGAGAATTACCGACCCGTTATCCTAACTAGTGTGATTGTTAAAATCTTAGATAGATTATTCGGAAGGAGCTATTTGAGTACCTCGATGAAAACCGGATCCTTTCAGAGAAGCAGCATGGTTTTAGGATAGATTATTCCTGTCTCACTAACTTATTAGTGGCTCATGAAGGCTGGTGCGCTCTTAAGGATCAAAAGTTACCTGTGGACATAGCCTACATTGACTTCAGCAGAGCTTTTGACAAAGTTCCGCAAAATCGGTTGTTATATAAGCCAAGAAATGTCGGGATGGGAGGCAATCAATTGATGTGGATAAAAAACTTTCTAGTTGAGCGCCGAAGATGAGTACGGGTGAACTCCAAGTTGTCTAGTTAAGAAACTGTGCTTAGCGGATTGTCTCAGTATGCAGTTATGTGGGCAGTGTCATTCCACTTGTATGTAAATGACCTTCCTCGTCTTCTATCATCATCAGTCTTGCTATATGCTGACGATGTCAAGATACTGAAAGCGATAAGAAATAAAGGTGATAACTTAGAGCTTCAGAATGACCTGGAGAAATTATATGAATGGCCTCAGACTTGGCAGTTGCCGATAAATACTTCCAAGTACATTGTGGTGCATAATGGTCTTCAAGGTACAGATACATGCATGATGAATAACATCTAGCTACCTGTCGTCCAGAAACACAGTAACTTATTAGCCATCGTTAGACAAGACTTTGTTGAAACGGCAGCTAACTAATATGTTGAGGCTAATGTCCTCAATATCTGACTCCAATAAATACTATCCCGTAAACTGAGTATTTAAGGTAGGCTTAATCTCCTAGTAGAATTACGGATTTACTCGAAATTATTGAGAAGCCTGAACACCAGTTATAGAGATAATTTATTGTTAATGATCAATTAAAATCCACAAACGTACGGTGAGCAAGCACACGATGAAACAGAGTGAGTGTGTGTGTTTAAAACCCATATATATTTTTAAGAGTTAATCGGGTGTGGATAAATGATCGATTATCTGCACATTGAAACCAATAGGAGGATAGCTTAAGAGTTAATGTACAGACATGCATTCGATCATACACACCGAAATTAACATAGTGAATTAAGAGTTTGCAATGCACACAGAAATTAACATGATTAATTAAGTGTCTGAGTTACAATGAATAGACAAATGATACAGTGGCCAAATGGGCTTGCCACAACTTATAAACTACTACACACTACCGTGTGATAGCCACCGAAGAATTTAGAACTCTATGGTCAATACATAAAGCCTTTAGAGGTGTCTAACCTAAAACGTCCTTGACTTCGTACACATTATTCGTTTGTCCTAAACTTGAGTATCGCATACAAGCGGCCAGCCCCTGCTTAAAAAGGGCAGTGAGATTTTGGAAAAGGTTCGGGGAGCGGCAACTAAGCTGATTCCCGGAATGGCGAAGCTCCCGTATGATGCTCTACTGGCCGAGCTAAACCTAATCCCGTTGTCATATCGAGGAACTAAAATTATGAATTTGCACATGATATACCCTCATTTTACTTTCCTTCAAAAATAGAGAATGTACGAGGACACCAGAAAAGTTCACAAGCCCAGGACAAAATACTTGTCAGCTGGGACTCATCACCTGAGCACGTGGTTGAGGCTCCATCCATCGAATCTTTCAAAAAAATGTTGGATCAACTTAGAGAACATCATTCCCAGAACTAACACAGGCCATCAAGCCTCCTGTCCTTTCCAATCTGAAACTGAAACTGGCCTATAGTTTTCCCCAGAGCCTGGAAAAACCTCAGTGAAAAGACTTAGGTGAATGAGAATGTGCAAAGAACCATACTCAAAAATTGCAAAAACACAGCTGGAGGGTCCAATTTGAATTTGATATTATTGGAAGTTTCTTGCATGCAGTTGTTATGGTCATCTTAAACAAGCTGCACGATATAACTGCTCGCGCTACAGTCAATCACGAGACCTTGACATGGATGAGTTCAGCAGAGATCCCTGGTGTGTAAGGGTTTTTTATGAGCTACTTTTAATATGTATTTTTTGCTTTTCTTGTTTGAATATTGAGGTTTTGCCTACTGTCATAGTGCATAATAATAACGATTAGAATAAGTTGTTTTCCAGTCTACGTATATTTACTTCAATATATATATATATATATATATTAAAGTTTATCCCATGATTTGTATTTTCTACTTGTTGGGATTATATGAGTTTGTTCAAAACTATCTCGGACGATTCTTTTTTTAATCAATTGCTACCAATCCTTGTTGCTTTATTAGTCCAGTTAAGTCATCGGTAATTGGAATCGATTATTCTTTCTGTATTGGTTTTCACCACTTGTCACTTGTAAGTATAAAAACCTAACAGCGTCAAAAGCTCATTGATGTGCACTAAGCAAAAAGGAACACTGGGTTTCGATTATGGACGCCACTTCACTAACGTCCACGGTATAAAATATATCCACTAAATTTAACATTACTCTTCTAATCCTGTAATAAGAGTCGATTTATTCTCGTGGTTACAAAAGGTTTCAGGTTTGCCCACGTGTCTTTAGATGACATCCTAATTTGATGCTCTAACGAAGTCTTCGGACATCGTGCGTTTCAGGTACTTTGTCGATCGGTTGTCAGTCTTCTATCAACACGGTATAATCTGCCAAATCAATGTAACATTTAAGCTACTTCTTGCAAGATTTTACTATTTTACGGACATTAGAAATGTGGTTTGAAAAGACTAATTAAAGGTACAAAAGAATACTGGATATAGTAAAGCCAGTCAGTCAACAACGTAGAACTTCGTAGGTACGTACATCAGTTCGAGTTGCCATACCACATTAACACAGAGATACAATTGTTGATTCAAATCCTGTAGTGGTAGAGGTAGTAAGAGTATAAGCAGTAATCGGAAAGATTAGGGTTTGAAGATGTTACTCAAGGGGTATAATCCAGAGAAGTAAAGTTGGAAAGAGAAAAAAAGGGACGTGAAGAATCCAGATTAGGATTTAGGAGAACAAAAAGAGTTGATGCACCTGCGCCATTGCAAACGATTTTGAGCCATGTCATTCAGGGTCTCTAATCATCGGTCGCTATCGTCTCGTGGATCCCAACCAGGTAGTCAACACCTACCAATATGGCTCAGTCCACTTGTCAGTGACTTCATGGATTTGTGCCATGTCTTGGTCTGGCTGCCGCTAGCTTTCTTCCAGTCGGTATTTGGGGATACTTAACATGTGCCCCAGCTATCTCCACTGATGGAGTTTCACTACTTCATAAATTGATTTGCCATCATTACCTACTGGAGATCGTGGGAAACCGAAGTGTGGCTGAAGGCCAGTTGAACTAATCTCGAAAGTGTTCTGCCCATCGATCCAACCTCACGGATTGAGAGTAAATAGCATGTCCATCTTTTTCGGAGATAGTTTCGCTAGCAGTTAGATCCCTAATACCAGTTTCCTTGACAAGTCTGGACAGTTGTCTG